GGGGCCGGCTCGGGGGCGGAGTCTCGCCTCACCTGGCTCACCTTCTTAAAGGGACAGGAGGGCAGGAAGGAAACTTGTTAGACAGGTCATCAACTTCAACAGCCCGAGGCGTCTGGACCGGAACGAGACTGCTGGCGCCGCCTAGCGTGTGGGATTAGGCATTGACTCACACAGTCCTCGTTCCAGTTAAACCCCACCCGGCCTGGATCGCGCCTTTAGCCCAATTCTACCTCTGCCTTGATTTCACACTTGTCTTCCTCCCCCTCCCAGGCTCCAGGGTCTGGTCCCGCAATAGACACGCGGGACGGCAGCTCCGATAAGGTAGACTTAAGTCACTATAATGAAAGGCAGGGGTGCACCTTAGCAAAACTTCTGGAAGGTTGGAGGGGGTAGCCAGACCCGTGCTAGGCACATCAGTCCATCTTCACGGAGGAGAAAGTCAGCAGAGTTTTCAGTGGCAGAGAGAGACTGGGAAAGGCTGGAGCGGGGGCCTGAAGGCAGGGAGCCCCAAGGTGCTCTCTGGGAGTGGTGAATGGACCAGTTTGACAGCCAGGGCCCGGGTTTTGTCCCAGGAGCCAGGCTGAAAGGCAGGTGTGGACCAGACCTGGGAAGGTCTTGTAAACATGATGAGCAGTTTGAACTGTTCCGTGCACTTTACAGAACAGACTGCGGACTTGGTGCGGGTTCCCCAGTAGAGGGGAAGGTCAGTATTCAGGCCACTTTCGTCCTCTCTGGAGAGCCGAACCCTCACATTATATTTAATAGATATTTCTGAGGTGTCTACTCTGCGTGCTCTGAAAGCATCAAAGGAAAGAAGAACAGTTCTTGCCCTCAGCCAGCTTAGTCTGAGGTGTGTTGGTAGTTTGGGGACACTACCAGAGCTGCAAAACAGAAGCTCCAAGGTCTCGTGAACCCAGGACCAGGCTGGCTCCACTCCTGGGCCCTCCCTGGCTCCATCTCATCTGGGTGAATCACTCACAGTTTTTCTATCACTTAAATTGTTGCCTCTTTCGGTCACTGTGGAGAAAGGGCGGTGGGCATCACAGGTGCTGATTTTATTTTTAAAAAATTGATACTTTGCAGTTTTTCTTCTTTTCCTATCAACAAATAGTAGAACATGGCTTCCATTTCCTAGCTAGACTGCCCTCATTGACATAAATAAATAAATAAACGTAACTCCACATGGGTTGGGAAATTCCTGTGGAACAGACAAGAAGCAGATAGGGAAGGGGGGCCCTCCCTCCTCCGACCCGGCCCCGATCAGCCACCATCCGCTGTTTTGTGCCAGGGTCTTAGCCTGTGTGCACGGCTCCCAGGCCTCCCTCTCCTCCCCAGTACAGGCAGGCTTGGGGAAATGCTCTCCTTCCATGCCACAATGGCAAGGACAGGAAGGTCTCTGGGAAGGAGGTGAGGCCCCCTGGCTCCCAGGGTCGGAGCTCTGTGATTCCAGCGGGGAGAAGCAGAGCTAGCTTTGGGGCGCTGTTGCCAGGAAGAAAGCACACGGGTGAGTCATGCCTGCATTCCAGGTCCAGATCCTTGGCCCTCCCGGGGCGTGAGGGCTGCTCTGAGCCCTGAGAGGTGAGGGGTGGAGTGCGGAGGGTCCACACAGAGCCTGGCTCTGGCTTCTAGATGCTTCTCTGTCCTGGTTGGGAAGTGTTGCAGGAGCGTCCATGATTATGGTCTGAGGATTCTTCCTTTTATGTGCTGTGGGCACCAGTGCCAGCTGGCAGGGCCGCTTGTAGCAAGCGGCTGACAATCTCTGGGCCGCCGTTTCCTTAGGCTGGGATGACGCCTCATTTCCAGAAGTCAGACGATTCAGCCTGACTCTTGAAGCCTTTCTGAGTCCCTGTTTCCTTCGCTATAAAATAGGATTAATCATGTCCACTTAGAGTGTGATGATCAAGAGGAGAAAGTGCTTCTCTAACTGTCAAGCCCTGAACAAGACCTTCAGATGTGTATATGTGGGGGATGGTGGTGGTAGAGGAAATCAGGGGGGCTGTGACTTACATCAGCGCCCCCCCTTCCTCCCCCAGTGGGACAAGCTCTGTGACTAAGCCATCTGATTTTTTTCTGTCAAAGGCAACTTCATGGTGGGAAAATAAATGGCACCCACCCCACAGGCACTGTTCAGGGGGTTCTGACAAGTGCTTGTGTCCTGCTGCTTCTCAAGACACCAGCATTTTTGTGACCCAGACCTGTATGCCCTCGTGGCTCTGTAAGATCTGTGCACTCTGTCCCAGGCTTCCTGTTCCTGTCGACAAGGTTTGCCCGTTGCAGAATTCATGTAGCCTCTGGAGTCTGGTCAGCCTGATGCCCACAGGCCCACCCACTTTGTTGCCTGTGCAGCTTGCTGCTCCTGTTTGCTGACCAGCCCCCGCTGGGTGGACGCTGAAGGTGTCACTTAGCGACAGCCAGCCCAAACCCCAACGTCTTCCTCAGCTCTGCTTCCCCAGGAGCCGCAGGCCTCTCGGCTCACGGGGCTTCCCAGAGGAACCCCAGTCTTCTCTGCCAATGGGCGGAAGCCAAGTTGGCATTCTGCAGGCATCCGTGTGCACCTGCCCTGTTTATGTCGCCTCTCCACCCTCCCCTTTCTGACCTGAATAAGGTAAAGTTCCTCCCAGCCCAGATCTGGACCTGATATGTCCATCAGGCTCTGGTGAACCTGCAGTTTAACCAGGAGAGCAGCCCTGGCAGCCTCTGTGAGCCCATTGCATAAAAGGGCTTATCCGATCCTTATCAGGCCCTGGCCTGCACGGATGGACCGAATCAGCCTGGTTTGGGCTGTGTGGGGCTGGCTGGCCCTGGCAGGCAGCACATCCAGGAGACCGCGTGGGCCCCGGGAGGGAGGGCGCCGGCCTCCGGCGTAAGCCCGCAGGTAGATTCTGCCTGTCTTTGATCCTTGGTTGGTTGGGCCTTCCCTGTCCTTTGCCTCTGTTCTCTGATCCTGGCTGCCCATCCAGCAAGGAGGCTATCGTGGCTACATTTATTATAGCGCCTACGCAGGCTGCCGGCTGGGGCCCTTACACACATGATTTCACTTACTTCTCACACCAACCCTTTGGGGGAAGGTATTATTAGTCCCACTTTATGGATGGAAAAACCGGAGGCACAGGACTTTCAGTAACTTCTTCAAAGTCCCTCCATTGAAGAGTCGGGACCGGAACCCGCCACAGGCAAACACAGAAGGGAAACGGTTTACTTTCGCTTTTCTCTCACCTCATCTTTCTGCCAGGCAACCTGTATCTTGTCTGAAATCGCCAAGGATTAGGTTTGCCAGTTTGGGGACTTTATAAAGTGGATGGGTCTGTTGTGTGTTCTTTGGTGTTGGAATTGTCTGACTCAGGCTCGGGAACTTTCTTCTGGTAGAAGTTGCTTTGTGCTGATTCGGTCCCCTGAGGTCCTTGATGGAGACCTCCTGACTTCCGGTTACGTTTTCTAAATTTGAATTTTCACTGGCTGACACCTGCCCTTGGCCGGGGTACTTGGCTATCTCCGAACGAGGCTAATTCTCCCTAAAGCTGCTTCCATTTTGAAAGGAAGCCTTTTGACAAAACTTGCAGGTTGACCAGAGAGCTGAGGCACCCAGAGGGGACCATGAAGGAGAAGAGTCTCAACAGGGCAGGGCGGGGCACAGGGGACTGTGGTGATGGGTCCCAGGTGCGAGGTGGAGGGAGAACTTCGCGACTACACCGGAGGGGATACATCAAATACTGTGCAAAAATGAAGAACAAAGTCCCCCCAAAATTACAAGAAAAACCCCTGCCGTAATCCCGGCACAATTGACTAAAAACTCACTTTTCCTCCACTGCCTTGCAATGTAAGTGCTGTCATAAACCAAATCAATTTCTGGGCTATATAATTTGTTCCTTTGGTTAATTAGTTTGTCATTATGCCAATATCATGTTTTCTTAATGATGT